TCAAAGGTTTGTTTTTCTTTTAAATTTTAAATTAATGCATTTATAATAATATTTATTTGAGTCCCTAATATTTTTCTGGCCAATACGAAATCAATAAACCATCGTTTCGATAGATTTGACAAGCATAAATTATTTTTGTCTCTCAAAGATTAATTTGACGTGTTGATCACTACTTACTTGCTAAGATACCTCAAAGCATCTACGTGCTTATAGTTTTCCGTACATTTCCTGTATACATCGTTATATTGTTGTCGGGCTCAAGTCATATAATATAATAATATGTCTACGATTGCTTCTAACGACAAACAAGTTATGCTGCAGCTGACGGAAGGAGAAAAAATGCAAATGATTTTCGAAGAGTTGAGGTTGGCCAAGTTCAACATTCCGACTACATTTGCCACACGGGTTGGAACATGGCTGGCGTTGAAAAGACACGTGTCTACGCCAAACGTAGCGAAGAGATTCATTCGGCGCATGTTTAGGATGACCGCAATCTTGAGGTATTGAATGATACATTAGAATGGCTGGGCAACTGAGAAAATAACTGATATAATAACATGATAAAGATGAAACAATTTTTGACAAAACAAATAACAGAATATTTAAGAGTAACTTTGAAGTCCACAATAAATTTGGTCATTTATGTGGTTTTGCTTATGTTTTGACCAGTCAATTAAAGCTGTGTCTAAAGCACCAGGTCACGCTGTATACATAAAAATGTGTTTAATTGATTATAATTATACTCAAAACAAAATCTTAGGCTTTATCCTCTTTTTCATTATTGTATCGTTCAAGTTCCTTGTGAAACTGAGGTTCAGTCTACATTAAATTTGAATGATATCTGCGACACTTGGGGCAAAACCATTTACTTTTTGGTTTTGTTGATAATGAAACAATATCTGCAATTAAGCTGTGGCCATTTCAATCCTCTGTCATCAATACATATGCGGGCAGTCTTAAATCAATCAATTAGTAAGTAGCATCAGGAAAAACTACCTTTAAAAACATAAAATATTAGAAAATTATTAGTATATACTAGATATTATATAGTTTTGTAGGGTTTCAAATAATTTTTAAATTGTAATTTAATTGTAATACAAAATTAAAATATTACTTCAGGAAATACATGGAATGAATAGCCATAAATCACTTCTGTATAAAAATGTCATTAAGTTTATTTGCCTTGTCTGTTGAAACTTCAACAGTACAATTAAACTTAGTCTTAAATTTATTTATAATCTCAACTAATTATTTGAATACTGTTTTCCTTTAAAAAATAAAATATTTATAGAAATATTGTAATCTGAAGAAAACCACTAAATTTAATTATAATTTTTTCTTACTGGCTGTAGGATAAATGTTAGATAAGTCTTTCAAAGTTACAATATTCTTCAGTTAAATCTTCAGGTAAATTACTGTATAACACCCAGGAAATTTCATGATTGTGAAATTCTGACTTTTTGGTGATTACTAATGATTTACCGTCTATTGAAGCTTTCAATAAATCACAGCTTCATAGTCTTGGAACATTGTACTTCAAATATTTTGATATTTATAACTTTTACTTTTACAACTTGGTAATATAAAATAAATGTACTTAAAAAGTGTTACATTGATCAAGTAAAATTTTTTTTTTTTGTAGGTTCCTCCGTGCACACAATAAAATTTAACATAATAATATTTTAACTCACTAGATGGTGTTACCATTCTACTATTTGGGTATTTAGCATTTATTGAGGCTAATGTTTTGCAGTCTTAAGTAAAATAACCTACAAAATGCATGTCTGTATAGACCATAAAACCACTCTGATATATAAATTTTAATACATATTATAAAAATATTGTAAAAAACCTAATTATGAAATTATATTACTTTCATTCCAGAAGTTCTTTGGTATTTTACAACAAGTTTCAGTGGCTAATGATCATCCATCCATGTTTTACTTCTTAAAAGAATAAATCATTAATATATATTGTAACTTATTTTTAATTGTAGAAAATGTACCAGTTATTAGTGATTTAATAAGTATAANCAGGGGCGTACCCAAGGGGGGGGTTTTCGGGTCTGGACCCCCCCATGGATAAGGTGCAAACCACTGATTGTATATTGTGTAATATGGTTGATATTGTATAATATTTACATTATTATTATCTTTCTCGACGATCTCCCCTGTTCGGTTGGCACCACCTACCACATTATAAACATCTCAAATACACAATATATTATAATCAGTAATCACGTACTAAGAAATGTCCGATACCTATTTTTAGACCGTGCATTTAATATATTATTATACCATATTAACGGTGTAAGCCGTTCAAGAATTATGATAACGTAATCTTAAGATTACAACAACAGCAGCACAGGCGCTCAACAGCTCAACTGATTTATTTTTGTTATACCTCCATAGTCCATGACCATAATATATTATTATTTTCGATTTCGAGGTATTTCCCGTATTACCTTCAAAGTAAATTGTAATGTGTATGTTTAACGATTAATATTTTCCTGTGCAGCTGTGTAAATCGTTAGACGTTAGTCGTTAAAAAATGGATAAATCATCATCAGAATTTACAAAAGCAAAGTTAGAAAAGTTTTTATTTACAAAAACTACAAATATTCAAGTAAGTAAAAATTAATATTTTTGTATTACATATTTGAAAACATTTTTGTTACAGTTAATCAAAATATAAAATTATTTCTTAATTAATAATAAGCAACATAGTTCTACAGAGAAGTTGACAGTCGTGTGTTACTGTTTTCTATATTTTTAAATTTAAAAATATAGAAAACAGTAAAAATATAGGCTATAATTAATACCTATAGGCTATAATTAATAATTTATTAAAAATTATAGTTCATACAATAATATACAACAAGTCATCAAATACAATAAAATATGTTCATTATTAATTCTAGTTTAATGTTTATAACTAAAGTTTATTTAATGTCTCTGTTTCTATAGTTAACTGTCTATAACAGATAATGATTAGTGATTAAATTTAAATTAAAAAATAAATAAAGTAATCAATTTCAGAATCAAGACAAAAGAAAATCATTTGAAGAAAATAGTTTAAACAAAAAACCAAAAATAGTTAACTATTTCAAAAATGCTGTGTTAAATGTAAGTCATGTGATGCAAATAAATTTTATCCAAAAACTGACAAATTCATAACTTATTTAAGTAATTTAATCTTTGGTTATTTTAGAGTACAGAAAGTAGAAAAAATCAAAATATAGTTGATGAATCTATTGATAAACACTGTGATGTAAGTACCTATATATTTTATTCAAATACTTTAAAGGCGGGTTGAAAATAAATGTCTAATAAAATGTTATGTTCATTTTATTGAGTTATTTAATATGTTAAAGCAATTTAGTTAATTATATACAAAAGTATTCAAATAAAAATATTATAAAAAAAATTTTTCTTACTCAGTCTTGTTGTACAAAACTTTTTTTTAATTTTCTAGAACGTAAAAGATAGTCAAGATAGCCCAATAGATAATTTTACCAATGATCATGAATTTAAAAATACATCACGGGAAAATGACATTTCATTACTTTTAGATAATTTCAAATTAAATTTACAAGAAAGATTGGAATTTATTAATACAATTTGGGCACCTGATTTTAGTTATAATTTTCCAATAACTACTGTAGGCAAAAAGCATCTTAAATTTCAAACAAGCTGGCTACAAACATGGAAATGGCTTTCCTATTCTAAAATAAAAAATGGAGCATTTTGCAAATATTGTGTAATTTTTAATCAAAAAGAAGGAGGAATAGGAAAACAAAGTTTGGGCATGTTGTGTACCAAAGAATTTTCTAATTGGAAACATGCAATTGAAAAGTTTAAAAATCATGAAGAAACTGGTTATCATAAAACATGTATAGAAAATTATAAAGTTATGTCTCAAAAAAATTATACTCCTATAAATATTCAAATAAATAAAGTTATAGCTGCTGAAATTATTGAAAATAGGAAATTGATTATGCCTGTTATTGAGTCTATAATTTTTTGTGGGCGCCAAGGTCTTTCATTAAGAGGTCATAACGATTCTGGACCTTTAATAATGCAACATGAACCTATCGAAAATGATGGTAACTTTAGAGCTGTATTAAGATATGGACTTCGCATGACTTCTGTAGTAAATTCTGATCTAGAACTAATAAGAGAACGTTGTAAACGTAATGCGCAGTATATTAGTCCAAAAATACAAAATGAAATAGTTAACATATGTAATAATTTAATACTTGATAAAATAGTTAAAAAAATAAATTCTTCAAAAGGTTTTTGTGTTCTTGCCGATGAAACTGCAGACGTAGCTGGAGTAGAACAGTTTTCAATTTGTGCTAGGTATATTTATAATAATGAAATAAAAGAAGACTTTCTAAATTTTGTTCCAGTAGAAAGTACAACAGGGGAAAATTTAGCTCATATTTTAATAAAAAGCTTGGAAAATTTTGGTATAAATTTACAATATTTAAGAGGGCAAGGCTACGATGGGGCGGCTGCTATGAGTGGAAGGTTTAATGGTGTCCAAAGTATAATAAAACAACAGTACAAGACAGCTGTATATGTTCATTGCAGTGCTCATGTGTTAAATTTAGTAATATGTAGTTCTTGTGAAATATCTTGTATCAGAAATGCGATGGGTGTTATTGAAAGTATATATAATTTTATGAATACTCCTAAACGACAGTGTGTATTACAAAGTGAGGTAAGAAATAAAATACCAAATTCAAAGAAAGAAAAATTAATGAAGTTATGTGCGACAAGGTGGGTAGAAAAACATGAATCTATTAGGACATTTATTGATTTACAAGAAGCTATAGTGAGCTCATTAGAAATGATGACAGAGTGGGTTGATAAAGAAACTTCCTCAAAAGCAACACAACTACTTCTTTCATTAAGAGATACAACATTTAATGTAAGTTTACTAGTTATTGATGAAATATTTAAACATTCTTATGTATTGTGTAAAGCACTACAAAGAGACAATATTGATTTAATAGAAGCAATGAATTTAGCTGAAGATTTAACTAAAGAAGTAAAACGAATGAGACAAAATAGTGATGAAGTTTTTTCAAACATTTTTATGACCTTAGAAGAAAAATCTAAACTTTTAAATTTTGATATTCATATTCCAAGGATTTGTAAACGCCAAACTAACCGTTATAATATTTCTACAGACTCTGCTGAAGAGTATTATAGAATATCAATTTTTACACCGTTTTTAGATTATTTTATTGATCAAATGAATACACGATTTATAGAGCACCAAACAATCTTAAAAGGATTTCAATCTTTATTTGACAATGATTTGGATAAAGATAGAAATGACATTTTAGAGTTACTACATTTTTATAAAGAATCAGATGATTTAAGTGACTCTGATATAGTTATATCGGAACTTAAAATGTGGAAAAACGTTTTAAATAGAATTGAAAATGAACAAAAACCAAAAAGAGCTATTGAATTTCTTAAATTGTGTGATGAAGACCTATTTCCAAATGTGTACAAGTTATTAAAAATAGTTTGTATTTTACCTGTGACAACATGTACTTCTGAAAGAAGTTTTTCATCATTAAGAAGACTTAAAACGTATTTAAGAAGCACTATGACAGAGAATAGACTCAATGGCTTAGCCATGTTAAGTATTCATCGAGAAGAACTTATTACTCCAGAAGAAGTTATTGAACAGCTAATTAAAAAAAATAGAAGACTTGCATTTTAAACAAAAATTATATTTTAATACACATTGAGCTAAATTTGAATTGTAAGATTACAGTTGTACTTGTTTCTTTTACCAATTAAATAGTATAAAATAAACATTTTTGTTGGTTTTTCAATGATATATATTATATGTAATTTTTTTATACTTTTTTACATGTTAAAAAAATTTGGACCCCCCCTTTGAAAAATTCCTGGGTACGCCCCTGTCGTAACTTATAACTTTTAATGTATTGTCCTGATAAATTATAACTTATTAGTTATTATCATTACATTATAATATTATATTATTATAAAAAATCTTGAATTCTTGGGCTACTACAAAAAAAATCGGAAATATATAGGTACATTAGAAGCCGCGAACTACGACGAACACAGTATTTTTGATACGAACATTCAAGTATTTAACGATCTTCTTATCATTATTCATTCGGCAACCAGTATACCTTTAATCATGGTATCCATGTGTAGCGTATTAGAATTATTGTTTTAATGATATGAGAAACGGAAAAGAAACAATAGGTTTTTTCGTTATTAAAATAAAATAATTCTAATAATTTTATTTTAATAACGAAAAAACGACTCTGGGTTCACTGGGGGGACGCGGAGATGAAACCCACCGAACAGTATGACAGTCGGTGCAATGCCCCAATGCTTGAATACCCGACTATAATTGTCCTCAAGATATTGATCAGTGCAATGCCGGATAAACTGACTATTGCACTATCGACCAATATAAATACCGTCCGATAGGTTTTGGGTGTGAATGCTTCTACCTGAAATGCGCAAGTCTGCTCGGGTGGGTCTTGCTACAGATCAGGTAAAAGAATGGTAGCTGGTCGACAGTCGTGCGGCCTTTTATATGCTGTATATCGACGATTATTTCAGCCAGTCCCGTGTTCTGTAGCAGGAACCCGAAACCGCAAAAGTGCAATCGCCGATAAACGCATAATCAATAATTATATAATTAACAAAGGACAAGATAATAATAATTATAATAACAATAGAAATTTAGGTGGACGGGAGGGCAGTAGTGTGCGTTATCTTCGCGACTGTGATGTGAAACATGGGGTAAAATAAAATTAAAAAATAAACACCATGGATAAATATACTATTAATAAGCATGGTATCTTCAGGGTACAAGCACAGATTGTAGTTTAATATAATCTATGGTATAAGGAATAAGAAGACAAGAAGTATGCCCAATAAAAAGACTGTTCTTTATTTTTGTATTATTTATACAAACGGGCAACCAACAATAAACTCTAGGTGAAGTTACATTTAATCTTGCAATGCAGATTGCAACGGAAGTCTTAAACACACGGCGAAATAGGACGAAAACACAGTTCAGGTTGAGCATACTTCTTATTTCTTAAACTATGGGTTCACCCATAATCTATAATATAATATCGTTGTAATTGATATTCGTTACAAATTGCATTTGAGAAAGTTATGATATTTTATGCTTACAACAGATATATCAATAAATACATTTTAAAATATTAATAAAACAAACATCAAAAAAAAAAATGATGTTTACAATATAGGTTTATATTATAATTTAAATTAGAAATTAAAAACAAATTAAGTTCCCCTTTACTTAAAAAATACTCGAAAAGTTAAAAGATGTAATATTATTGAAAGTACCTAACAAAATTAATGATCTGGGATGATTAGGTGTATAGTGTATTTGAAATAGTGTCATCTAATGCTTACAATTATAAATTAAATATATCATGTAAATTATATATTTATATCACACTCTTAAATAATGTTAAGATAAAACATGAACCTTTTGAAATTTTTGAGCAGCCTTCCTAGATAAGCTAAAGAGTTTGCTAAGGTCTGGCATGACAGACTGCTTTACAAACCAAAATGCCTTAACAATTATCTTCAACATCATTAGATCTTTTCTCTATTCGCTTAGCTCCACCTTCCAAATACATTACAATAACACAGATATCAAACAAATTATGCAGATGTAGGTGGTACACTGGTACCACAAGGATCAAAATTATTCGCAATACTTTCCAACTCATACATATCCCAACTTCCCCACAACAACGAATCCGGAAATAGCTCAGTAAGCCGACGATTTAGTGTCATATATTCTAGTTCTGATAAAGAATAAAAAGTAACATACAATACATTCAAACTCAACTCAACGAAATTAAAAAATGGGCCCAAAGTTGGAAAATCGTCCTCGATCTATCGAAAAACATTGCAGTTATTTTCAATCTACGTAGACCCGAAAACTACAATACCTTAAAATTAAACAGACAAAATATAGTTTGGTATCCATAATATCTATTAAATTATCTTAGAGCAATATTAGATAAAAAAAAATTACCTGGAATCCTCAAATAACTTCGAAATTACAGCAAGAATACGAACGTTTAAAAATACTGTATCCACTATATTCACTAATTATTCGTCTTGTATATTACTTAAGGATTTAAATCACGATTTGTGTGCTCCGTATTTATTCCCGTTCCTAGTAGATTTTGACATTTTAGAAAAGTCCCATGATTAGAAAATAAATAAATATTTCATGTATCAACATTTAAGTGTCCATTCACATGAATTGCAAGCCCAGTTTGGGAATTAGAATGATACTCCTTCCCCTAAAAATCAAAATTATGTATACTGCGCATCAAACGCGACTTTTTTTTCCTTTACTGAGGACCACGACTAAAGTTATATCTTTAATCGTGCTCAGGACTATAGAATGTTATAAAATTATTTAATTAATTACAATAAGTAATTATTGATTAATTTCCATTGTTTCCGGTTGTTCAGAATTTTAAACTGAACTCGGATGTCCATATGAATTATACGGGTTCATTATTATTAATATAATAAAGAAATGATCAATAAATAACAGTTCATATAAATTAATATTCGGTACCTATAGCCATACTTAAACATACATGATCGGACTAGATAATGGTGTGGCCCATTTGATGTTTTTATTAATTTGAAAATGATAAATCATTGCCTTAAGAAAAAGCAATTCCAAGCTACGCTCTGTAGATAGTTTTTTAACTATGAGTAGAATTTTTAATATTCAGCACTGAAAATGTAATACTAATTATTAAGAGGTAATTCCCTGCTCAAATAGATTCCACATTCCAAATCGTGGTTGAAAATTTGAAATGTTCGAGCTCAAACGAAACGTGTTCGTACGCCTGGCAACACTGGTTATGATAGGAATAATATTATTATCAGAGATAATTACTATCATTTCCCGCCTAATTTAATGTTTATTATGGTTATCGGTTCGGTCTTTAGTTCGTTCTTACGTCTTCCCTCCAAGTTGCGATATGCAAATAACAATAATTTATACTTTATAAGTTATAACATTCCATTCTAGTTCCTATTCTGTAATCTAATTTATTGTTATAGTTGTGTGTATGTGCTGCTGTGCCTTGTAGCCGTCTAATTTAGGTAAGTGCTTATTCCTTAATCTGCATCTGGGATTTCGTCCCATTTCACCACCTCAGTCAATTTAGATATTTTGTGTAATCGTATTTTTTTCAATATTAACATAAGACAGCGGATTTCTGTACAATCATGGTAGTATTGAAAACTGTGCAACATTACATACTATATAATATTATATAAACATATAGAAATTCATGCTGTGAGTAATACATTCATCACAAACTTACATTAAACTTAATAAAATAGCATAGGTACATCTTAATAGTTGATCATAATTGTTACCATAATTTGATGATATGTGTTTTCTTGTACAGTACTATATATCCATAATATGGCAATTTTATGTATATTATAAAATTTGTTACTTGAGCTTTTTATATTTCAGGATGGATAGAACAAAATTGTATAAAAAAATACCTAATAGTAGTATTAACTCTAGCCTATCAGCTAGTAATTCAAATTTGACAAATACTACTCCAAGTAATAAAAACACTCCGAAAAATAGCAATACTCGATCTAAAAGTAATCTAAATTTTAAAGAGAATGATGCTGTTAAACGACTCAAAAGTAAGTACAATATAGCTAAAATAAATATATATTTTAAATACCTCGATGTAATATTCAATATTATGTCATAGATTTTAGCTCCAACGTTACCCTAGAAAGAAATGGCAGTATGCCAAATCTAAACGCAACTGGTAATAGATTGCAATTGGACAAAATCACCAAGCTACGATTTGCATATGACAAGTATCTCAGCAGCTTGGAAGCAAAATATGTGTTTCAGATGATTGAAAAAAATATATCTTCAAATGTCAATGAACAAAAAAAGGTTTTTAGGGATGAATTTAATATTCTCAAAGATCAATTAGTGACTTTAAGTAAAGAATTGGAAATGATAAATGGATTAAAAATTGAAAAAAAATTAATCGATCAAAAAATTGAAGGACTTGAAATGCTTAGTAAGTAGATATTGATTTGCCTATATTTAAATTAAATATTTTTAACCAATGTAAATTTGTTTTTGTTTTAGATAAAGCTCTTGTATTTAATGATTCAGACGAAGAAATTATGACTTTGTTCTCTAGTACGGCATCCAAAGTTGTTATTAAAAATTTTAAGCAATTGAACGAAGATGATTTAAGTAAGTTAACTCAAGAGAGCTATCTCTTAAGAGACTAAAATTTATTGAATTAGCTTTCCATTCAATTCAGTGTCACAATTTTATCAGGCCAGCGCCTGAAAATTCTATTAGGCACTTTTTTATACTCAATAGTGAAAATAATTTCAAAATATTTGTCTGTAGAGTTTCAAAAAATTTTAAAATTCATTAAAACTTATTTTTAACTATGACTAAAAATTAAATTTAAATTATTGTAAAAATAACATATAATATATAAATAAAATAAATAGGTGCTCTTGAACTTCTAAACCAGTGGTGCTCAACCTTTTTTGGTGCACGGCACTATTATATATCACAAGTTTTCTTGGCACACTCACATACTTGACAACCACAACGACTTCGGCAATTTTTCCAAAGGCAATAGTTATCGCCACGCTCCTATATATGTGTGATATTTCTCGCGGCACACCAGTTGAGAACCACTGCTCTAAACTGTGAAAAGAACTCTGACTATAATTTTTGATTTTGATTAATAATTGTAGTTTGATAAAAAATAAGTTTCACTTGAAACTCCTTATTATTCAAAATTGTTGCATAGATAAACTCATTATTTTTTGATTTCCAACTATTAATAAATATGACATTGTCTATTAAGGTATAATTTACTTAAGTAAGAACTATTATTAGTTTAAGAACTAACTTGCTGCCATGAGATCCTCGTGTTTTAGTGTTTCTTAGTCTTGATTTAGTATTGCCACTTAATAGCTTTGAAATTTTTGTTTTTCATATTATATTGGGTGATTCGCCAAGCACTCTTCTATTTTCTTAAATAGTGCAATTATTCAAAATCTTAAAATCTTATACGGTCTTTAAGTATATTTAAAGATTCTAAGGATTAGATTTTTAATAACTGCATTATTAAAGAAAAAAGCGAGGGTGTGCATGCTTGGTGAATTCACCTGTATACAATAATAAATAAGTACAGTAAAGTTGCCAAACAGTATTTAATCATTATCATAACTTATTTAACCAAGATATAATTACTATTAACACCCTATATTTTAATTATTATTTCTAGTATATTGGCCATAGTCGTGGTAGATGATAGAATAGCTGTATAACCACAAAATACTATTAAGATTTAATCTATGGAGTGGTATAATACCAAAAACAAGATATATTCAACAATCTTAAAACACAATACTTAACATTCATATCAATTTTTCCTTTTAGTTATTGTTTTGAACAATTAATATTATTTATAACTTTATGAGAGGGTCCCTACAATTTTCCATTGTACTGGGCCTACGTGTTGGCTTATGTTGCACTCAATCAACTTACCAGGTTTTTTTGTGGCACTGACTCCCCTTAATATGTTGGAGTATAATATATGAACAAATCTAACCTAAGATGAGTGATCGGTAAAGTATAAGATGTATTAGAAGAATTTTTATATTAATGGAAAATTGTCAAGTTATAACTAATAAATATCCTTAATTGATCGTTTATTTACCTACTTACAAAGGTTTAATAAATAATAGGTATGTATTTTGTATTATTCATTCCAATTTAAATAATATATCTTAAGTGGACACTACCCGTGCATTTTATGTCTCCGTCTTACACACGTACACGACATAGAACATTTTCGTTCACTAGTTTCAATATTGTGATGTTTCGATATTAGAGTGAATTTACTTATTGTCAACATTTTAGGTAAGAGCATTATCTATGCTTTAGGATTTGAATGGCGGATTTTCGGATATTTTAATTTACAAGCGAGATATGAGCATTTTCATTTTGTGTTATTTCACATACTCATATCTTGCTTGAAATTGAAAATATCAAAAATCCACCGAAACTTAATAGATAATGTTCTTACCTAAACGTTTGATAATATTTAAATTCACTCTAATATCAAAACTAACGGCCAACTATATTCAAACTATTGAACAAAAATTTGCTGTCGTAAGTTGGTAAGAAGTGTGTTCGATACATCCTGACATGATGTAAAAAAAACATTAATATCATATTATCCTTTCGATAAAAAAGACAGATATATAAAACTTATAAAACTGTTTAAAATTCATGAGTACATTTTTTTATTATATAGATGCTGTTAAGATGCTGTTGAATGAAATTATAGAGCCATTAAAACTACTCGATTATGAAAATAAAATTAATGTGAGAATTCAATTAAAAGATTCATTGATTAAAGTAGCAATGTTAACGAAAGAATTAGATACATTAAAATTGAAGTAAGCATTAACTATAAACATCATAACATATTCATTGTAAATCATGTTTAAATAAAAATTAAACCAATATCATTATCTCATTGATTAATTTAATCTGTTTAATATGTTGTAAGGTGTGAAGAGTTATTTGACGAACAAGATAGTTTGCTGAATTATAATAAATCACATAAAATATTAAAAGCTCAATTTGGAGAAAACCCAGACTCAAATTTACTGCCAACAAAGAGTAACTTAGTGGAAGAAGTTGAAAATATGTTAAATGAAATAGAATGGTAAATTAAAAAATCAAATATTATACTTTACTCTTTTTTACTTAAGTTTTTTTTATTTATTTTTGTATTTTTATCGTATGTCGATTTTTTTTTTAAGTACTAAATTACTAATAAACAGTATATTTATTCTATTTCAATTTTACTTTTGTTATAAATTATTTTATTTTAAAAATTTTATGGGCATCGACCCAATACTAGTTGTAAAATACTAAGTTGTATAATTTAAAATATACATTAGTTTGGTAATCAAAAATAAACGGTACATAATCAAACTATATATTAAAAATGTTTTGATTATATTATACTTACTTAATCACTACACTACTACAGAGATTATATTTTTTATTGAAACGAGGTATTTTTTAGCCACAATTGTTGATTTTTGCTTAAAGTAATTTAAGTAATTATGTGTCTGGTCATAATATAATTATGCTGAAATTTGTGACACAAACTAGAGTGATGTGTGTGGAGAGTATACTTGGTGTTTTTATTTGATTAAAAATTAAATTGGAAAGAATTTTCTCATTATTTCTTTTAACCACATGGGGGCTGAATTTGAGGCTATTTGAGATGTTGACAACATATAAATACACACAAGACATTTTTCCTCTGACGTGACGATACAACAAATGCTGTAGCTGGTCTTGGGATAGATATCGAGAATTAAATACAAAAACATATGCACGAACACCCCAGACACATAACAGTGAGCCACCGCATCAGACGTACAATTGTTGATATTTAATAATTTTAAAATCATTTTTATTTTCTTGTATGAATAAAAGAATACTTCAGAGTGTACAATTTAGAGCCCAATCATCACTTTATTTAAAATTTATACTAAATTAGTAATAATTTACCTTTATCATATATTTGTGGCAACGATTATTTTTCAATGTTTGGCAAAAAAAATATATATTTTGGTTGTACAACAGTTAAAATGCATTACATATACCAAACCATTATAATAATGATAGTTTTAAATAAATTATAGTCATGGATAACTGTATTCATGGACTAATAATTTAATCCAACATTTTTCTGATCATATAGTTCAAAATGCCTCCATGTTTATGGTATAGTATATCCACTTCAGTGTCAAAACGCAAAATGGCATTGAATGTGACACCTGTATTGGTCTAAAAAAATAAAATATATAATTAGTTAAATAAAGAAACGTAAAAAATGTTTTAATTTGTTATTTACTTTCACTTGGATTTCCTGCAATGGTTTGCAGTCTTGTGGAATATCTATATCATAAATTTCATGACCAGTGAGTTTTAAAGTTTCAGCATTTTCTCCGGAACGGAATTGCAATGGAATTATTCCCATACCAACCAAGTTGGATCGGTGAATACGTTCATAAGATTCAGCAATCACAGCTTTAATTCCCTATAGACAATAAAAAGCATATTATACAATAAAACTGAAAATGTTTTCATCATAATATATTATGTAAAGTAATAATTAATACAATAAAAATTATATAAATATATTACCAGCAAAAACGGTCCTTTTGCTGCCCAATCTCTTGATGAACCTGATCCATAATCTTTGCCCACAATAGCAATGAGCGGTCTTCCCTCTTTAGCATAAACTTGAGCTGCATCAAAGACGTCCAACTAAAGTAACAAAAATAATAATTAGCTCGGCAAAAAATGTTAATGAAAAAAATATGTACAACCTCCTGTCCACTAGGAATGTGCAATGTTTTTGGTCCAGTGTTCTTGACCAACTTATTTACTAATCTTATGTTTGCGAATGTCCCTCTAGCCATTATATCATCGTTTCCACGTCTTGAGCCATACGAGTTGAAGTCTTTTGGTGTGATGCTAAAAAAAATTGATTGGGATTTTAATTTTTAACTTATTCAATTATTAAAATTTATAATATATTTAAACTCACTTTCTTGAAGCTAAATAACGAGCTGCAGAACTATTTCTTGCAATGCTACCAGCAGGGCTTATGTGATCAGTTGTTACAGAGTCACCGAGAAATAGTAATACATGTGCCCCTTTCACTGATTGAACACCAGGTAATGTCTAAACAAGAAATATTTGTACGAAAACTATTGTCTGTATATTGTAAAATGGTTTATACCTTAGTCATGCCACTGAAAAATGGTGGGTTTTTAATGTAAGTAGACGACACATCCCATGGGTATAATTGGCCGTCTGGGGCTTGTAAGCATTGCCAAGCATTAGAACCATTTTCAATGCGAGCATAGACATCTTGGAACATTGCAGGAATTACAGTTTGTTTTTCAACAGTTTGGATTTGTGCTCTAGATGGCCAAATATTCTTCAAAAATACTGGCTTGCCATTTTTATCATTACCTAATTGAGAATAAATAACATTAAACAATTAAATTTATATAAATGCATAGCTACTTAATTACATTTAAAATATATTTTATTTAACAGTTGACTTATGACTCAGCATAAATCAACAATTATTATAGGCACTAGTAACCAATCAGTAAATTCTGTATTAAGGTTTTGGAGTTTATTTTATGTGTTTTGAGACAAACAACTAACAGGTAGCTTAAGGTTAGGTTATGGAATCTACTTCCGATGTCCGATTTTGTTTTTGAATGTATGCATAAGTTTATTAGCTTTTTTCGATTTATTTTTTAACAAGTCTGAAAATTAAAATTTGTATTCAAAAAACGAAAAAATTGTTCAACTAAATAATATATATAAAGTTTTGAGTATTAAATAATAAATATGTTTCATACATTGCCTGGTTAATACAAATGTTTTGACAAAATTTTAATCGGACCACTTTATAAAAGTAACTGAAAAAAATGTTCTCTTTTACTAGCTTCCACTAGTAAATTAGTTTGTTAAAGGGTTAATTTTAAGTGATCCTAGCTTCTATCGACTATCACAAGTTCATAGACATTACTATTATGAATTTCCACTGGTATTCCACATTTTCTGCTCCAACAGATCTGAAGGGATATTTTAAGGAATCTGATGCTCTGGTGATATATTATGAAAGCTTGATTTGGGAAGGTACTTATTTCCTCGTAGGGCCTCTAGTGCCGAGAATAATAGCAAGGAAGATGGGTACTTTAAAACAACAAAAAACCCATTCCTGTCGTCGAGTGTCCCAACCGTCAGTGGTATAATACCTATCACACCGAACAATGTTGGGTACTATTACTAAGTTGTTACTTGAAAAAACTAATCGCTCACCTATAGGTTCAGTTTCAAAGTCAATGTCCATGCGTCCGGCGATCGCGTACGCAATGACCAACAGCGGTGAGGCCAAATAGTTGGCACGGGTGTTCGGGTGGATGCGGCCTTCAAAGTTACGGTTGCCCGACAAAACTCCACAACAGACTAGTTCGTTCTGAATGATGACAAGGAAAATACATTTTTAAACGGAACAATTATTAATATTTGTAAATTGTATCAATTTGTTTAAATAAGGTTTTTTGACCGATAACCGACAGCTCAAAAACAACATAACATTATGCAGTACCTGCAGTAATCGAGGCACGGCAATCGTAATGAAAATCCCCAGACTACGCGATATTACTCACCAAGTCACAACCACGTCATGAAAATAATTGTACACACATTTCTTAAACGTTAATTAGTGTAATAACCACATTTTGGGCTATTGGATGTGGGGTGGTGCGGTAGGGGGTAGAACTAATAAGGTACTAATTAGCTATAATTAGTTTAATAATACTAATTAGCTTTGTACTGTGGGGGGAGGGTAGTTTTAAACACATGCTGTATATGTGCGCCGAGGATTTGATGCTAAAAAAACTGGGTGGTTACCTATCCGAGAACTAACAACACCGCGCCGGCCGCACCATATACACTCAGAGTGATGCGTACGCAACTTGCAGGGTGCGGACACAGCGCCACAATTACCACATTATTAATGTTTAATACTATTACTTTTTTCAATAATTTTTTGTTCTATAATACGATATTATTATGTATAATTCTGTAAAATGAAATCCCTCAAATATATATTTTTTTTTAATTTCCTTTAATATTTTGAAGATAATGTATAATATATAAGAATTAGGAGCTTATCAAATGTTACCTATTGTCGTGTAGTGTGTACCTACCATTGATCATATATAATATAAAGTAATATACACGATACACCTACCTATCTTATCTGTAATGGGCTCACGAACTCAACTTGGACACTCACACTCACTATCCTAAAATGAATGTGTACGACCATAATCAAACATTGTATAGTACAATAAAAATTAGCAACGATTTTCAGTGGACCCCATATTATAAGCCTCAGTACACTTTTACCTACACAAGTACCGAACGAACGGTATGGAAATTGTAAAAACCTTGTAAAAACTCATGTTAAAAAAACCTAAAATTACACGTGACCGATTTATTTATAATTTTCAAAAAGAGTGTTCTAGTTTTATTCGTTAGTGCTGTTTTAAATTTAGCTTTTTAAAATGTCCGAGTGTACTTAAGACTAGCTAAAATTCGGAAAATCCAATATTTCTTGGTATTGATCATGGGCATGTGTATAGTTTTACTAAGAATCCAGTCGCTGCTTTAAAATTATAAAATACAATGAACGAAAAAACACGAATCCGTGAGTAATGTACCACAACCACATGAAGTATTAGTTGAATTGGCAAAAGGACACGTAAAACGGACAGTTCGAAACCACAGATCCAGATCATTAGGTACAACGATAATTCAAAACTATGGTGTAAATAAGAATTAGTCAGGTATTAACATATTTGTTATGTATTGCTATTAATTGTATTTTAAAATACAATATCGCTGTGTGTATAAATTCAAAATAATATTTTTTAACCACAATAATATGTATGAAATATCTGGGGAAAAAAATGAGTGTACATTTATTTATTTTTAGATATTTTTGATACAGTATGACAGTAAGTACCTAACGTTTAAACATTTTTAACTGCAAAATAATTTGTTTTATTATCAATTTGAACTTCAATTGCTAAAAAAAAATGTTCTCAAAGCATTTTAATATTTTAAAACGGATATTGTACCAATGTATTGCCTGTATTAAATTTTCAAGCTTTTAACCAACAAATTTTACAATTGACGTATTATCTTTTAAATATTGCATCGACATGAAGTACAACTTGTAAAAACGTCTCCTAATAATATTATTATTGTCAAAATATTACAGTAAACATAATATTGTTTTAAATTTTCAATCCTCAGCTATAGTAAAAATTGAACATTTTCAACATTTTAAGAACATATTACTACACTATGAGTATATATTTGTAATTAAATAGGTATTAATAATGGGGTAATTACATTAATTAGCGTTTAAAAAATATTTGTCCAATAAGTGTCATATTGTGTTTGTAATACCTCATGAGTAATCGTTGCTAAATTATAAATAATAATGTATTCGATTTTCATTCGACTTACTGATTCGATAGCGTTCACAATCGGTTCGGGCAAAGGTCCAGAATTTCCAATACACGTCATGCAACCGAATCCAACGGTGTCAAAACCAAGTGCTGTCAAAGCTGGCGTAACTCCGCTTTCTCGCAGATAATAAGTGACCACCCCCGATCCAGGCGAAAGACTAGTTTTGATGTATGGCGCCACAGAAAGACCGGCTTCGACGGCATTTTTAGCCAGAAGACCTAGAAAACAACAAATCGAACATTATTTAAAAACACTAATTTTTTAATTCGAAATTCGTTAATTATTTACCAGCTCCGAGCATGACACTGGGATTGCTCGTATTAGTACACGATGTGATGGCAGCAATGACAACCGATCCATGTCTTAGAGTATACTTTTGATTATTGAATTCGAATTCACAACTGGCGTTCAATTTGTCTGGACTTATGTTAAATCCTTTAAATCCAATCTAAAAATAAAAGAATTTCAAATAAAATACCATGTTCAATAAATATGGAATGCAATTAAAAATACATTTTCAAAATATTGGATATTTACAATAATTTATATTTTTGACACAAATAATTTAATTCTGTACACCAAATGAAACGTTACATCAAAGCGTACCACATAATGTAATTTGTAATATATTTTTTTTTTTATTCATTAATATAATTGTGTCAATACACCAAGTATTTTTACAATGTTGCAATTTTATAAAATGTATTATATTATTATTTATATTATGTATAATAGTTTTGATTAGCTATGAGTCTGGGTCAGAAACTGAAGTTTGAGTCTAATTAGATTTGTAATTTGTAATATTAAAATGCTACCATTATAGACGTATCTTTGAATTACCTACATAATTTAATTTGGGATAAGTTATAAGTAGATGTTATTAGTCATAGTTATTACATAATATCTTCATTTTTAAATATAATAATTATTATTTAATTAAATACGACTTCTGTAACACAATATGGTGGAGAGCAAATGCACAATAACCCAAAGATTGAAAACACGTTTCTTATAATAATAATTTACATGATATCAAAATAGTTATAACTACAAATCAAAAAATTTAAATTTAAATTCTCTTGTAAATAAAATAATATCTCGTAGAATATTAACTGTTGTTGTTTAATCTGGAAAATATTCAAAAGAAATGTTGGGTATTCAAATTAAAACAGAACATAATGAACAATAGACTATAATAACCTAAATTCAAATTAAAAATAAATTATGCAGTAACGGAAACTATTTTCAATACCTACCTCATAATAAAATGAGTTATTTATAAAACAAATATCAATAAATTAAGATATAATTTTTGTCATAAATTAAAATATACTTCTTAATTTAAAAGTTAATGGAATTGTATACGTATATACCACTGTCGCAATTCACCGAATAACAAGTTATCTAAAAATACAGTTAATGTTATAATTCTTGGACAACGATAAATTTTTAAAAATAATATCAGTTGGCTGACTACACCTTAAATTAAACACTATTTATTTTGGATACTTATCGGCAGCCATCACATAGGTAGTACCTATGCCAATTCTAGGAATTCGTGAGATTTATAGCAAGTCTATTTGCGTGATCAATATTTTGGTACCGAAAAAACTTCTAGAGCCGACCTTGAATTGCAGGTGTGTGTATTTATAAGTGGTTATTGTACGACTTCAGTGGAAAGGCCTGCAGGCCAGGAGCCTAAAGAATCAAGATTTTCAAAAAGAAAAATTCGATACATATCGATACGAAATAGTTACGTACCACCTCGTATCGGAGTTCGAGTCCGATATGGGTCGGTACGTATCGCTTGTATATTGCACGTGTAACATCTTGAACGCTCAAAATTGACCCGATACGTACCGATACACTCCAAATTCTTTCTTAAAAATCTTGTATCTATACATTTTTATATTATACAGGCTTTGACATCATTGCATAGACATATGATTTAAATTATCAAAAACCCAAGTAAATCCATCTATCATATTATTATCACATCTATATTATGCAATTCATATTAACTGTGCAAAGAATTTAAATATTGTATAATTTAATTATCCGATGTCAGGATGTTTCTCGAATACCATTGATACTGGTGTTAATGTGTTAAAATGTAAAGATGTACCTTTATGCAATAAAATATATAACATTTAAGTATAATGAAGCTGACCCAAATGTCTAAGGAATTTCGATGGACCTCAGGTTTATCCGGTACATGTCAAACAATTTGGGTAAGAACTAAGAAGGTGAAAGAAATAAAAATAAATAAAAACCAAACGATTCCTGCCAATGTATCCAACCGACAAGACAAAATAAAAATACGCACTGCAGGACGCAGTTTTGAGACGCAGAAATCGTCCCGAAAACAATTTATTATGGTTGGAGGGGCTCGATGATGGGAAACAATTCTTTAAACGAACAAAATATAGTATTTTATCACTTGTAGCCTTGTAGGTCTTCGTGTATGCGTTCCCAACAGAATAACAAAACCAACCATATAAAGTACATCACTACAATGTTATAACATAAAGGTGTAGTAATGTAATATATAGATTAAAATGTTACTTGGAAATGGATTTCTTGGAAATGTAGCCGTCCGTCTAATTTAGATTTCGGGCAAACCAACTGATATAACAAATACCATACACGCGTTTCTTGATTATAGAATATCATTATGTAGTATAAATATTAATACTAATAATATTAATAAGTTGCATATTATAAGTATGTTATTGATATTACAAAATAACATTATTAAATCTCAACCATGATAAAATACTATTTTTGTACGAATTTTATAATAAATACGACAATAATATATTGTATGACATTGATAATTGGTAATAATAATTGGAAGAGTCATATTATGAATATAGATGTAAGAGCATACTATTATTAGAACTATTATCGCAGGTACACAAATAATATTTGTATTTCGTTTAATATTGGTAATTCGTATAGAACAGCGTTTCTTAAACTGTGTTCCGCGGAACCCCGGGGTTCCGCGGAGGTTACTTCAGGGTTCCCCGAAACTTGTGGTTTTTTGTTCAAAATTTTAAATTTTGACACATAATTATAACTTTTATTGCAAATATTCCTTACATAAAATGACGCATTGAAAGTATTGAAACAATGTAGTGGTTCTAATTATCGAGCTGTGATAATTTATTGTTAAGAGCTCAATAAAAAAAAGCTAAAAAAAGTTGGGGGTCCACGGTGAAAGTACACATAAAAAAGGGTTCCACGGATAAAAAAGTTTAAGAAACGCTGGTATAGAATTTAAACGATAACTATTGTATATACCACAAATCACAATACTGTGAATTTAAAAATCATTTTACATCTACAATTCAAATTTAACTCGAATCACATTTCCGAAATTTAATACAAAAATAATACGATTTAGTCACCTAAAACGTAATTAGGTATTTGAATACTGAAATTAACAGAGATTCTTATACTTCAATGTTGACTCATCAGTATACCTCAATTGTATTATAAAACCTAATTGTTTATAGTTCAATTAATTATCATTTTCAAAATATGAAAATGACATTTTATTTTATATTTTCATTCTATTGAGAGTAACAGTGATAAAGGCGATTTCATAGACAACTCTGCTCATCATTTTTTTTTTTAAATAATCGCAATTATTGATAATTATTATAAAATCACTAATAGAGTAAAAAAAGTTTGCTGATTTTAGTTCAGATAACACCGTTCCATAGAGTATATTAAATTCTACAGTAACCCACTGGGGACTTGGCCAACCGCATCCAATACACATAATATAGTAGATTAAATAATTAACACTATAATATAATAATATTAAATATTTAGACACTTATTGAATTGTTTAGTGCCTACTGCCTCGTAGTATGTGGCCATGTGACGATTGTGACGAGCGTTGCCCGTGAATCCACGCGGGTATGGTTCCACAATTACGTCGAATAATACAATTAGGAAAACAAAATATTAAATAATATCAGTACACTGTGTATCGACGATAACCCATTGTCCGAGTAGATAGTATTAATACATTTTTCTTATGATAAAATTATGAAAATAAAATATCTAGTAAAATGTGTTTAACACGTCAATAGGTAACTATTATGTGGTTATAATAATATTATTGGTACAGTATCGACTGTCGTTGACAATGACTGGTTCTTGGGAAAAAGTAATCATAACTTTGCTAGAAATAGATGGAAACAAAATTCAAATACACAATTCTAAAGTAGACATCCCCGGGGGTCGCGTTTCTAATGAAGCGGAACGCTGAAATCTATGATAAAATGCAAGCGTTCGTCCCTTCACCACAATTGAAGCAATTTTAACGTGATATTATAGTGATATAATAATATATATCATATACGTAATTTGACATGACGGAACACCGCAGTACACGAAGAGTTCAAAGAAACCCCATGTGTTACTCCCTGGCAAATACGGGATGAAAAAATACAAAAGGTATAAGTAGAAACTATTAGAAACTCCACTGTAGAGAGCTGGACACCAAACATGCGTATGTTTGTATACGATTCACAAAGAACAGGTCTCGTCAGGAGTGTAAACCTATGTCCAATGGTAACGTTTATTTCTTTTCTCTTATATCAGGTAGATATTCTTTTCTATAGGTGTGGGTTCTCCTGTATCCGACTTCGATCGTCGCATACAATACACATTATATACAATATATGTATACATAATATTATGAAATATTTTAAGGTCCAGAAACATTTTTGACTCAAAGGACAGGACAGTGTGCTAGTGTCTGTAGTCGGTAGTGTTACGCCACTCTCGCTCATCGTTGTTCAGGTCTCCAGATCACATAGCTTATCTTCTTCAAACGGATATCTCTCTTTGCGACTAAATCATGTAATTTGCTTTCCGAAGATCAGTACAAGTAAAAATTAATTAATTTTATAATATATAAAAGGTTAAAATTAAAATTTTAATAAATTAATTTTTCGTAAACAGGCAAGGCCGTTTAATAGTATATTTTTCAGTAACATGTGTTATTTGAATTTGTGACTAGAATTATATACTATTGATCTGCAGTTGTAGTGATCACGACAAGTGTAATAGTTTTATTAAGTTTTTATTTCTGCAAGGTCCCCACACACTGCAGCGGTGGCGGTGGCGCTTGGTATTTGGACGTTTCCCCCCGAGGAAAAGCCCTAGATTCGTGGAGCTTATGGCGTAATGAAGCCGAACACAATTTTACCACCACCGCTGCTGTGTTAACTGCTAAGAGCGTTATTAGTAGATTATAATTATATTATATTATTTGTATTATATTATAACGTATAACTAATGGTGTTATGGTCTTATACGCTCAATAATAATTATTTTAATTTTAAATGCAAGGGATTAAATTGTATAAATAAGCAATCATTTTTATGAAAAAAAAAACATCAATTAATCATTAATTTGTAGTTTAGTCTT